ACCCCCCACCTACACACAGCAACATGCTGTAGATGGTGGGACCCCCCACCCTAACACACAGCAACATGCTCGTAGATGTTGGGACCCCCCACAATCACACACAGGCAACATGCTGTAGATGGTGGACCACCCCACACTCACACACATCAACATGCTGTAGATGGTGGGAACCCCCACACACTCACAACAGACAACATGCTGTAGATGGGGGACCCCCAAACTCACACACAGCAAATGCCGTAGATGTGGGACCCCCCCACCACTCACACACAGCAAAAATTCTGCAGAGGTAGTGACCCCCCCTCACTCACACCAGCAAACATGCTGCAGATGGTAGTGACCCCCCCCCCAAACTCACCACGCACATGTGTCGAGGTAGTGACCCCCCCCCCCCTCACCACACGCAACAATGCGTAGATGGTAGTGACCCCCCCCGCCACCTCACACACAGCAACATGCTGTAGATGGTAGTGACCCCCCCCCCCCCCACTCACCAACAGTAACATGCTGTAGATGGTAGGGACCCCACCCACTCTACACACAGCAACATGCTGTAGATGGTGGGACCCCCCCCTGCCACTCACACACAGCAACATGCTGTAGATGGTGGTGACCCCCCCCCCCACTCACACACAGCAACATGCTGTAGATGGTGGGACCCCCCCCCCCCCACTCACACACAGCAACATGCTGTAGATGGTGGGACCCCCCCCCCACTCACACACAAGCAACATGCTGTAGATGGTGGGACCCGCCCGCCCCACTCACACACAGCAACATGCTGTAGATGTTGACCCCCCCCCCCCACTCCACACAGCACATGCTGTAGATGGTAGTGACCCCCCCCCACTCACACACAGCAACATGCTGTAGATGGTAGGACCCCCCCCCCCCACTCACACACAGCAACATGCTGTAGATGGTGGGACCCCCCCCCCCCCCCTCACACACAGCAACATGCTGTAGATGGTGGGGCCCCCCCCCCCCCCCACTCACACACAGCAACATGCTGTAGATGGTGGGACCCCCCCCCCCCACTCACACACAGCAACATGCTGTAGATGGTGGGACCCCCCCCCCCACTCACACACAACAACATGCTGTAGATGTAGTGACCCCCCCCCCCACTCACACACAGCAACATGCTGTAGATGGTAGTGACCCCCCCCCCCACTCACACACAGCAACATGCTGTAGATGGTGGGGGCCCCCCCCCCCCACTCACACACAGCAACATGCTGTAGATGGTGGGACCCCCCCCCCCCACTCACACACAGCAACATGCTGTAGATGGTGGGAACCCCCCCCCCCCACTCACACACAGCACATGCTGTAGATGGTGGGACCCCCCCCCCACTCACACACAGCAACATGCTGTAGATGGTGGGACCCCCCCCCCCCACTCACACACAGCAACATGCTGTAGATGGTAGGGACCCCCCCCCCCACTCACACACAGCAACATGCTGTAGATGGTGGGACCCCCCCCCCACTCACACACAGCAACATGCTGTAGATGGTGGGACCCCCCCCCCACTCACACACAGCAACATGCTGTAGATGGTGGGACCCCCCCCCCCCCACTCACACACAGCAACATGCTGTAGATGGTGGGACCCCCCCCCCACTCACACCACAGCAACATGCTGTAGATGGTGGGACCCCCCCCCCCCCCCACTCACACACAGCAACATGCTGTAGATGGTGGGACCCCCCCCCCCCCACTCACACACAGCAACATGCTGTAGATGGTGGGACCCCCCCCCCCCACTCACACACAGCAACATGCTGCAGATGGTAGTGACCCCCCCCCACTCACACACAGCAACATGCTGTAGATGGTAGGTGACCCCCCCCCCCACTCACACACAGCAACATGCTGTAGATGGTAGTGACCCCCCCCCACTCACACACAGCAACATGCTGTAGATGGTAGTGACCCCCCCCCACTCACACACAGCAACATGCTGTAGATGGTAGTGACCCCCCCCCCCCCACTCACACACAGCAACATGCTGCAGATGGTAGTGAACCCCCCCCCCCACTCACACACAGCAACATGCTGTAGATGGTGGGACCCCCCCCACTCACACACAGCAACATGCTGTAGATGGTGGGGACCCCCCCCCCCACTCACACACAGCAACATGCTGTAGATGGTGGGACCCCCCCCCCCACTCACACACAGCAACATGCTGTAGATGGTGGGACCCCCCCCCCCACTCACACACAGCAACATGCTGTAGATGGTGGGGACCCCCCCCCCCCACCCACTCACACACAGCAACATGCTGTAGATGGTGGGACCCCCCCCCCCCCACTCACACACAGCAACATGCTGTAGATGGTGGGACCCCCCCCCACTCACACACAGCAACATGCTGTAGATGGTGGGACCCCCCCCCCACTCACACACAGCAACATGCTGTAGATGGTGGGACCCCCCCCCCCCACTCACACACAGCAACATGCTGTAGATGGTAGTGACCCCCCCCCCCCACTCACACACAGCAACATGCTGTAGATGGTGGGCCCCCCCCCCCCCACTCACACACAGCAACATGCTGTAGATGGTGGGACCCCCCCCCCCCCACTCACACACAGCAACATGCTGTAGATGGTGGGACCCCCCCCCCCCCACTCACACACAGCAACATGCTGTAGATGGTGGGAACCCCCCCCCCCCCCCCCTCACACACAGCAACATGCTGTAGATGGTGGGACCCCCCCCCCACTCACACACAGCAACATGCCTGTAGATGGTGGGACCCCCCCCCCCACTCACACACAGCAAACATGCTGTAGATGGTGGGACCCCCCCCCCCCCCCACTCACACACAGCAACATGCCTGTAGATGGTGGGACCCCCCCCCCCACTCACACACAGCAACATCTGTAGCTGGTGGGACCCCCCCCCCCCCCACTCACACACAGCAACATGCTGTAGATGGTGGGACCCCCCCCCCACTCACACACAGCAACATCCTGTAGATGGTGGGACCCCCCCCCCACTCACACACAGCAACATGCTGTAGATGGTGGGACCCCCCCCCCCACTCACACACAGCAACATCTGTAGATGGTGGGACCCCCCCCCCCACTCACACACAGCAACATCCTGTAGATGGTGGGACCCCCCCCCCCCCCACTCACACACAGCAACATGCTGTAGATGGTAGTGGACCCCCCCCCCCCACTCACACACAGCAACATGCTGTAGATGGTGGGACCCCCCCCCCACTCACACACAGCAACATGCTGTAGATGGTGGGACCCCCCCCCCCCCCACTCACACACAGCAACATGCTGTAGATGGTGGGGACCCCCCCCCCCCCCACTCACACACAGCAACATGCCTGTAGATGGTGGGACCCCCCCCCCCACTCACACACAGCAACATGCTTGTAGATGGTGGGACCCCCCCCCCCCACTCACACACAGCAACATGCCTGTAGATGGTGGGACCCCCCCCCCCACTCACACACAGCAACATGCTGTAGATGGTGGGACCCCCCCCACTCACACACAGCAACATCTGTAGATGTGGGACCCCCCCCCCCACTCACACACAGCAACATGCTGTAGATGGTGGGACCCCCCCCCCCACTCACACACAGCAACATGCTGTAGATGGTGGGACCCCCCCCCCCACTCACACACAGCAACATGCTGTAGATGGTGGGACCCCCCCCCACTCACACACAGCAACATGCTGTAGATGGTGGGACCCCCCCCCACTCACCACAGCAACATGGTGTAGATGGTGGGACCCCCCCCCCACTCACACACAGCAACATGCTGTAGATGGTGGGACCCCCCCCCCCTCACACAGCAACATGCTGTAGATGGTGGGACCCCCCCCCCACTCACACACAGCAACATGCTGTAGATGGTGGGACCCCCCCCCCACTCACACACAGCAACATGCTGTAGATGGTGGGACCCCCCCCCACTCACACACAGCAACATGCTGTAGATGGTGGGACCCCCCCCCCCACACACAGCAACATGCTGTAGATGGTGGGACCCCCCCCCCACTCACACAGCAACATGCTGTAGATGGTGGGACCCCCCCCCACTCACACACAGCAACATGCTGTAGATGGTGGGACCCCCCCCCCACTCACACACAGCAACATGCTGTAGATGGTGGGACCCCCCCCCCCACTCCACACAGCAACATGCTGCTGTAGATGGTGGGACCCCCCCCCCACTCACACACAGCAACATGCTGTAGATGGTGGGACCCCCCCCCCCACTCACACACAGCAACATCCTGTAGATGGTGGGACCCCCCCCCCCACTCACACACAGCAACATGCTGTAGATGGTGGGACCCCCCCCCCCACTCACACACAGCAACATGCTGTAGATGGTGGGACCCCCCCCCACTCACACACAGCAACATGCTGTAGATGGTGGGACCCCCCCCCCACTCACACACAGCAACATGCTGTAGATGGTGGGACCCCCCCCCCCACTCACACACAGCAACATGCTGTAGATGGTGGGACCCCCCCCCCCACTCACACACAGCAACATGCTGTAGATGGTGGGCCCCCCCCCCCACTCACACACAGCAACATGCTGTAGATGGTGGGACCCCCCCCCCCACTCACACACAGCAACATGCTGTAGATGGTGGGACCCCCCCCCCCCACTCACACACAGCAACATGCTGTAGATGGTGGGACCCCCCCCCCCACTCACAACACAGCAACATGCTGTAGATGGTGGGCCCCCCCCCCCCCACTCACACACAGCAAACATGCTGTAGATGTGGGACCCCCCCCCCCCCCACCTCACACACAGCAACATGCCTGTAGATGCGGTGGGACCCCCCCCCCCACTCACACACAGGCAACTGCTGTAAGCATGGTGGGACCCCCCCCCCCCCCCACTCACAACACAGCAAACATGCTGTAAGATGGTGGGACCCCCCCCCCCCCCATCCACACCCAAGCACCATGCTGTAGATTTGGTGGGACCCACCCCCCCCCCACCCCACTCACCACACAGCAACATGCTGTAGATGGTGGGAACCCCCCCCCCCCCACTCACACACGCAACATTGCTGTAGATGGTGGGACCCCCCCCCCCCATCACACACAGCAACATGCTTGTAGATGGTGGAACCCCCCCCCCCCCACTCACACACAGCAACATGCTGTAGATTGGGTGGGACCTCCCCCACCACTCCGGACTCACACACAGGCAAACATGCTTGTATATGGTAGTGGACCCCCCCCCCCCCCACTCACACACAGCAACATGCTGTAGATGGTGGGACCCCCCCCCCCCCACTCACACACAGCAACATGCTGTAGATGGTGGGACCCCCCCCCCCCCCCACTCACACACAGCAACATGCTGTAGATGGTGGGACCCCCCCCCCCCCCACTCACACACAGCAACATGCTGTAGATGGTGGGACCCCCCCCCCCCCACTCACACACAGCAACATGCTGTAGATGGTGGGACCCCCCCCCCCCCACTCACACACAGCAACATGCTGTAGATGGTGGGACCCCCCCCCCCCCACTCACACACAGCAACATGCTGTAGATGGTAGGACCTCTGCCACCCCCCTGCCCACCCCCTGCCCCCCCCTGCCCCCCCCCTTGCCCCCCCCCCCCCGCCCACGGCAGGAGCGTATATTGGGAGTTTGCGTGTCTCTCTCTCTCATCATCATCATCACGGTGGCTATGAGATGTTAACTACCTCGCCTGGTATACAGGAGGTCGTGGGTTTGATCCCGACCTTGACGCCTGCTGCTGTATATTTGGAGTTTGCGTGTCTCTCTCCCCGTGGTTGCGTGGGTTTTTCTCCGGGTTCACCGGTTTTCCCTCCACATTTAGAATCAACGTGCGTTCAGAGTATTTGGCTGCTATAAGTTGCCACGTGATACGCTACTTTGTTGAACTATCATTTCTAGATTTTAAGCTTGCGTGACTGCAAGGATTCATATTCTTAGGTTTTTTCGGTAAAGTCACGTAGGTAAAAAATTATCACTTGATACAGCTATCGTGCTGTGACTGTTCCACCTGAAGTCAGAAGCTTGTGTTGCCTACGAAACGTCGTGATTTTTAAATCCTTTATATTAAGTTCGCTTGCTTGCTTGCGTGCTTGCGTGCTTGCTTGCTTGCTTACGACCGTGCAAATCTTTCGGTCGTTTTTTAACCCACTTCCCGTGATCCAATCGAGCTGACATTTTGCACACAGACTCGTTGTGCGAGACAATTAATGGTCGTGAAAATTTTACATTGTTTAGGGAAAACAAATAAAATATTTAATTACCAATTGCTTAATACTGGCAGGCAATCATCTGACCCATAGGTGGCAGCCATCTCAAGCCAGAGGACGAGAGGACTCTAGCCGCCACGCATATAAAGGATTTAGAGTGAAAAACTTTGTTTTTACGGGTTATACTTATTATTTCATTTTTATTTGACTTTTATTAATTTTCATTTTTTACCTACGTGACTTTACCGAAAAAACCTAAGAATATGAACTATCATTTGTTTTGAAAAAGAGCTAGATAGCTCAGTGAGCCTTACCTGGTAAAATTAAATTAGCTAATTAATAGTGAGTTAGTTAGAGTGACCTATGTTATCAACATGAGAAAGGGAGGTGACACAGAAACACAAGCAACTTTACTGTCATAGTACAAAAATGACGCGAATAGGAATCAGAACAAAAACCACCGCCTCTGATTTGAGCAACAGTTGGCTTGTACGGTGCGAACGGAGTTCAACATACATGCATGTACACGCAGCACAAATACACCAAATAGCAGTCAGAGCAAAGGCAGCTAAATAAATCATGAGGGTAGCGACAACCGATTAGAAATCACAGCACACACATGAATATTTAATACAAATTCCTGTTAAACAAACTCAGCTCGGAGAAATTGGTAAAAGAAAAAAAACATTCAAAGTAAAATCACGTTACACCACGTGGATCGAGAGAGGTTGTTTGAAGTCGTGTGCAAACACACGTGATGGACACGTGTCAAACACAACGTCAAAGTGTTGTAATCGCGCAGAATCCACAGCTCCGCACCGCGATCTGGATGGGGAGAGTTCACCGAGGACATCGTTGAAGCGATGCAATTCCAGGTGGTTGGCTATATCGGCCAGACAATGGTTGAACCATGAACAAGGCTAGGCAACCAAAGAGTAAGAAAATACATTCTTTTGTAGAATTCATAATAAAAAAACCTCTAATCTTCCAAGAGCCGCAATGCACGTGGTGAATACGAGACGCTGGGTTCTTCATGAATAATGTCACGAAGCAGGCCCCTGAAAGAGTCGCATGCGGCCCTGGAGCCACAGGTTTTTGCCGATCCGTGAGCATGGCAGTGTGTCTTCTTGGTTCTTTCGGTAAAGTCACGTAGAAGGGAAGTAATACAATTATAAAAATAAAACATAATAAAATAATTCTCACGACGTTTCGGCCACAACGCAAGCAGCCGTCCTCAGGTGAAGACCAGGTCTGTCGGGGAGACAGCGTCTGAATGAAACACCACCACGCTTGGAGCGTATATTTAAGCTGGGTTGGAAGGGGGGAAGGGCGCCTTGACAAAATAATTTGCATAAAATGAAAACACCACCACGCTTGGAGCGTATATTTAAGCTGGGTTGGAAGGGGGGAAGGGCGCCTTGACAAAATAATTTGCATATCAAGAGGAATTTAGCATATTTATTGGAAATGCAGGTATGTGATTAGTACTACTTGTGAAATGCGTAGGAGGTGTGCGGGGGGTTTCAAAGTCATATTATGCCCGTGCATTATGCATTGTGGTTTTTCTTGTCTCCCTTAAGTCATGGAACGAGCAAGCTGCCAACAACAGCCTCAGCTGGGCCAAAACCTGCGCTCTGGGTCACAGCGCGTCCGCCAACCGCAAGACACCGGGTGAGACCCCGTTGCTGCTCTTACACTCACTTTGGGGCGTCACGGTGGCTAGGAGATGTTAACTACCTCGCCTGGTACACAGGAGGTCGTGGGTTCGATCCCGACCCTGACGCCTGCTGCTGTATATTTGGAGTTTGCGTGTCTCTCTCTCATCATCATCACGGTGGCTGGGAGATGCTAACTACCTCGCCTTGTATACAGGAGGTCGTGGGTTCGATCCCGACCCTGACGCCTGCTGCTGTGTATTTGGAGTTTGCGTGTCTCTCTCTCTCATCATCACGGTGGCGAGGAGATGTTAACTACCTCGCCTGGTGTGCAGGAGGTCGTGGGTGCAGGAGGTCGTGGGATGGGCAGCGCCTCCGCATTAGCGCACAGCTCTGCTTTGTAGTTTGCGGTCCCTGTAGAATTCACAACGCAGCAGAGCTTTAGGATCATTGTTGGCCTCGCGCGCACGCACACACACAAGTGCGTACAAACAAAAATATCACGAAGCGTGCGGTGTATGTGTGTGTATGTGTGTGTGTATGTGTGTGTGTGTATGTGTGTGTAGCGGTTAGCGCGCTGCGCTATGAACCTGGCGACCCGAGTTCGATTCCCGCTCACGGCCAACACCAGTGACGATTATCTGAACCGGTCCTGGGCCTCCCCTAGGTCGACTCAGCCTCAAATGAGTTGCTGGTGCGGTGTGTAAACATCGCCACTGGGGAGACAAAGGCGGCCGGGCGTGGTTTTGGCCACCCACCCCCTCGTGTGCCGTGCCGGCTTTTATAGGTGCTCGCTAACAGCACTTACCCGAAAAGTCTGTTAAGGCTATACGGGGGATCTTTGTATTAGTAAATGTGTTCTTAGGTTTTTTCGGTAAAGTCACGAAGGCAAGCTATCGTGCTGTGACTGTTCCACCTGAAGACGGAAGCTTGTGTTGCCTCCGAAACGTCGTGATTTTTATTTTATTTTTACTTTTATTAATTTTAATTTTTTACCTACTTGACTTTACCGAAAAAACCTAAGAATATGAATCCTTGCAGTCACGAATGCTTTAAATCTAGAATTAGTATATGTGTACTTATACGTGTGATGCTTACAAAACCCACCAAAAGATTGAGGAAGTAGCCAACCCCTGTGAGCAGAGTGGGCTTTCAAGTCTGGTGCGCTAACCATTAACAACAACGGCAGATCAAGTTCCAGTTCAAGTGCATGTATTAGGTGTAGCCCTGTGAGCCATTCGGCTCTTGAATCGGGTGCAACCGCAACAAACAAACAAGTATAACCCGTAAAAACAAAGTTTTTCACTATAAATCCTTTATATGCGTGGCGGCTAGAGTCCTCTCGTCCTCTGGCTTGAGATGGCTGCCACCTATGGGTCAGATGATTGCATTGCACCATTAAGCAATTGGTAATTAAATATAATATTTTTGTCCTAAAAAGTGTAACATTTTGGGAATTTTTTTTCACGAACATTAATTGTCACGCACAACGAGTCTGTGTGGAAAATGTCAGCTCGATTGGATCACGGGAAGTGGGTTAAAAAACGACCGAAAGATTTGCACGGTCGTAAGCGCGCAAGCAAGCAAGCAAGTGAACTTAATATAAAGGATTTAAAAAAAACATGAACATGACGATGACGACGACAACGACGACGACAATCAATGCCACTTGATTAGACGAATTCTTTCTCGTTGCAGTGTTTGGCTGCGGCGAGAACCTCTACATCGGCAATGCCCCCTTCACCTGGAAGTACGTGATCGGTGAGTGGTACAACGAGGTGACTGCGCCGGGCTTCGTGTACGACAAGGCCGGCCAAGGTGCCGGTGTCGAGCACTACACGCAGGTGAGAGGCGCTTCGCTCGCGACGGCTCAACGCGGGTGGCGCGCGGTCGGTGGCTCGTCGCTTTCATGCGTCAACGGCGCGCTTTGGCTGCGACGCACGTTTTTACGCTGGGGGGTGGAGGGACAGACCGTTGGCGCAACGCGGAAGGCGCACACCGATGGGACGAGGAATGAGTGCGCTGTTGTAGCGTGGGATGCGCGTGTGCCGTTATGACGAGGAACGCACACACTGTTCATCTTCTTTGTTCTTTCGGTGAAGTCAGGTATAATGGAAATAATAAAATAATAAAAACAAGTAAACCCGTAAAAACAAAGTTTTTCACTATAAATCCTTTATATGCGTGGCGGCTAGAGTCTTCTCGTCCTCTGGCTTGAGATGGCTGCCACCTATGGGTCAGATGATTGTCTGCCAGTATTAAGCAATTGGTAATTAAATATTGAATTTGTTTTCCCTAAACAGTGTAAAATTTTGGGAATTTTTTTTCAAGAACATTAATTGTCTCGCACAACGAGTCTGTGTGGAAAATGTCAGCTCGATTGGATCACGGGAAGTGGGTTAAAAAACGACCAAAAGATTTGCATGGTCGTAAGCAAGCAAGCAAGCACGCAAGCAAGCAAGCACGCAAGCACGCAAGCGAACTTAATATAAATGATTTAATAACTATTTGGTTCTTTCGGTAAAGTCACGTATAAAGATAAAATAATAAATTAAATAATAGCATACGACGTTTCGATTGCAACACAAGCAATCGTCGTCAGGTATAAATGAAATAGCAACAAAAATCTAACCAGAAAACTATAGACATACATATAAGCAGACAGATATCACCAAGATACACAGAGAGAGAGTAACACATAGGCACAGAGAGGGAGATCGTCTCTGTGGCGAGGCCTTAAATAGACAGAGGGGGGCGTTTTGGCCACAACGCAAGCAGCCGTCCTCAGGTGAAGAACAGGTCTGTCGAGAAGACAGCGTCTGAATGAAACACCCCAAGAACACCCCAAGAACAGGTCTGTCGAGAAGACAGAGTCTGAATGAAACACCCCAAGAACACCCCAAGAACAGGTCTGTCGAGAAGACAGAGTCTGAATGAAACACCCCAAGAACACCCCAAGAACAGGTCTGTCGAGAAGACAGAGTCTGAATGAAACACCCCAAGAACACCCCAAGAACAGGTCTGTCGAGAAGACAGAGTCTGAATGAAACACCCCAGGCTTTCAGACTCTGTCTTCTCGACAGACCTGTTCTTCACCTGAGGACGGCTGCTTGCGTTGTGGCCGAAACGTCGTGAGAATAATTTAATAATGTTTAATTTTTTATTATTTTATTATTTCCATTCTACGTGACTTTACCGAAAGAACCAAGAAGATGAATCCCTGCAGTCACGAAAGCTTTAAATCGAAAGCACACACTGTTGTTACTCAGAACGCGGGCCTGTTATAACGCAGAACACGTGCCGTTATAACACAGAACCCACGCCTGTTATAACGCGGTATGTGTGCCATTATAACACGGAACCCACGTCTGTTATAACGCGGTGTGTGTGCCATTATAACACGGAACCCACTTGTGTTATAACGCGGTACGTGTGCCATTATAACACGGAACCCACGCCTGTTATAACGCGGTACGTGTGCCATTATAACACGGAACCCACGCCTGTTATAACGCGGTATGTGTGCCATTATAACACGGAACCCACGCCTGTTATAACGCGGTACGTGTGCCATTATACCACGGAACCCACGCCTGTTATAACGCGGTACGTGTGCCATTATAACACGGAACCCACGCCTGTTATAACGCGGTATGTGTGCCATTATAACACGGAACCCACGCCTGTTATAACGCGGTACGTGTGCCATTATAACACGGAACCCACGCCTGTTATAACGCGGTATGTGTGCCATTATAACACGGAACCCAGGCCTGTTATAACGCGGTATGTGTGCCATTATAACACGGAACCCATGCCTGTTATAACGCGGAATGCGTGCACCTTTAATGCGGAACATGTGCCATTATAACACGGAACCCACGCCTGTTATAACGCGGTATGTGTGCCATTATAACACGGAACCCACGCCTGTTATAACGCGGAATGTGTGACATTATAACACGGAACCCACGTCTGTTATAACGTGGTACGTGTGCCGTTATAACACGGAACCCACGCCTGTTATAACGCGGAACACGTGCCCCTGAACGCACACACGTGCGTTCAGGGGCACAGGTGATGCAACTGCCAGTCATCTCAGTTAATCAATCCATGGCACCTGGGTCTGTCCGGTGACCTCCTCCTGCGCCTAGACTGGCAAAGGAGTCAACCCACGGCACCTGGATCTGTCCCGTGACCTTCTCCTGCCGGCAAGGAAAGCCTTCAACAATTCATGTGACGGCCTCAACGTGCACTTAGCCTGACGCAAGCGCTGTGGTGATGTCACAGCCACTTAGTGGCGAATGTCGGTTGTTGTTTGTTGTTGCTGTTGCAGCTGGTGTGGTACAGTTCTTTCCAGATCGGATGCTCCGTCAACTTCTGCGCGACTGCTAAGAAGTATTTCTACGTTTGCCACTACTGCCCAGCGTAAGCAACGCCCCCACGGTCATCGTTACCCCACTCAGTAATTATTGTTTTTAATTGTATTAGTTTATAAATCAGTTGCTGGGCGCAAGTGTCCAAAGAACCAAAAGCGTCAAGTTGCCAGCAAACAAAACAGCACGACTGGACGTCTCTTCTTGGTTCTTTCGGTAAAGTCACGTAAAAGGGAAATAATAAAATAATAAACATAAACATAATAAAATAAAATTCTCACGACGTTTCGGCCACAACGATAGCAGTCGTCCTCAGGTGAAGAACAGGGCTGTCGGAAAGACAGCGTCCGAATGAACACCACCAAGCTTGGCAGCGTATATTTAAGCTGGGTTGGAGGGGGAAGAGCGCCTTGACAAAGGAATTTACATATCAAGAGGATTTTAGCATATTTATGGAAAATGCAGATATGGGATTAGTCACTACTTGTGGAATGTGTAGGTAGTGCGGAGGTCTCAAAGTCATATTATTCCCGTGTATTATGTAGGATTAGCAGTAATAAAGAGAGGGAAATTTTAATAGTAAGGAGCTGCAGCAGACAAATCACCACGTAAAAAAATATAAACTTCATCCAATATCATCAATATACTCAATATACTCTCCAATAAGCTGAGCTACTAACAGTAAATTCATACGTTACACTTCTACGTCGCAAAAAATATAATATGCCTCCAGCTAAACTTTTTTCTTACATCAAGGAGCATCATAGCTCATCGGATTCCTCCAGTATAAATAAATATTGTGATTCTGAAAGTCGCGACAATTTTTATGGAATTCGGCAGAGTTTTGGGAAAATTAGACGATGGGAGGGAATTTCGAAAGGTGGAGCAGAGTTGATACGACCCTGGTTCTACTCCCTACTCTCTTGCGCATTATGGCAGCAGCAATGCTTGACACGTAGGCTTTCGCGACCAATATTATTCATAATCAACGTTTTTGGGTTTAGATCGCGTTATTTATAAATGTGTCGTAACCCTCCACCACCCGACACGGCCAATCAGTAAAAAAGTGTCACGTTGACAAAAGACAAATAGTTCACTGCTTTAGCCCACCGGTGTGTTGAAGCGTGAAGCCACAACAATTTACAATTTGAGTCGTACGTCGTTTCGCTGGTAATTGCATCCATTCTGGCGAATTGCCCGATGATGCTGGATACAATTACCAGCGAAACGTCGTACTCAAATTGTAAATGTTGTGGTTTCACGCTTCAACACACCGGTGGGCTAAAGCAGTGAACTATTTGTCTTTTGTCAACGTGACACTTTTTTTTTACTGATTGGCCGTGTCGGGTGGTGGAGGGTTACGACACATTTATAAATAACGCGATCTAAACCCAAAAACGTTGATTATGAGCAGCAATGCTGTTGTTCGGCAGCTGTAGATGTCGATGCCGAGGTCTGTTGCTGATGCTGTTGCTGGCCATGCCGAGAAGGCTTCATTCTCTGGCCAGGAGGTCAAAGGTCGGCCAAGAGAGTTCCTCAATGTTGAGTTGGTATACTCGAAGACCTCGTCTGAGTGGTGTCTGACCCTTTAAGATGGTCCTTTTTCTCGGCATTTAGCACCAATGATCACGTCTGGATTCATATTAGCGGTGTCCATTTCGCCGAAATGGTGTTAGTTGATGACGGTATTGATTATGACAGTATTACAGTACGCAGTTGATGACAGTATTAGATGATGATAGTATTAATGACAGTATTATAATTAACGGGAATAATTGATGGTATTATGGTGGTATGACAGTATTGATGGCAGCATTAGTTTATGACGGATTTAGTTGATAACTGTATACATGTATGACTGTATTATGGTTCTAGATTTGAAGTTTTCATGACTGCAAGGGTCCATACTCTGTTTTTTTTCGGTAAAGTCACGTAGGTAAAAAAGAAAATAAAAATAAATTCAATCACGAGGTTTTTTACCTACGTGACTTTACCGAAAACATCCAAAGAGTATTATGGTTAATACCGTCATCATAAAAACTTCAACTTTAAACGTAATCCTTTCCCTGTACGTCATAAGTTTTTTTTTTCTGATTCAGTTTCGATGACGTATGTGTACGACATCGAAACGGACTCAAAAGAATAACAAGAGTTAAATAAAACGTCATCAGTACCGAGGCTCCCACAAGGCCATGCGAGAAGGCATGTGGCACAGTTTGGCGCCGGCTATCGTAGAGTGCGGTGGTCGTGTCGCTACAGTTCCCTGCAGTGAGTGTGATGTCTTTATAAAAACAACGGCGCTACGCTTTTCTCGAAAGAAGTGTTACGCAAAAACCGCTTGAGCGTTCTAAGATTCAGCGGTGAACGGGACACCCACCCAGCAATTCGCAGATGTCTCAGAATGTGCAAGGGTTCATATAAGACCCCTTCCCACATATTCATAGTTTTTTCGCTAACGTCACGTAGGTAAAAAAATAATAAATAAATAAATAAATAAAAAATAAAAAAACGACGTTTCGGAGGCAACACAAGTCCCCGTCATCAGGTGGGACCGTCACAGCCAGATTTGCTCTATCAAGTGAGCAACCCGTGTAAAGACCCCCAGCCGAACCGTGCGCATGGCTGCCGTGTTTGTTTGGTGTTGACGTTTGCCGAGAGCGAGACGTCGTCGCCTGCCTTGCTGTCGTCCCTCCCAGCGGCAACCTGAACACGCGTCTCTCCCGGCCGTACGACAAGGGGAACGCGTGCGCCTCCTGCCCCAAGAGCTGCGTCAACAAGCTGTGCGGTGAGTGCGCTCAAGGGACGCGCGCGTGTCCACGTGGCAGGGTGGCACGGAGACACACAGACAGACACACAAGCAGAGAGAGACTCACACAGAGACACACAGAGAGAGACACACAGAGACACACAGAGACACACAGACAGACACACAAGCAGAGAGAGACTCACACAGAGACACACAGAGAGAGACTCACACAGAGACACACAGAGAGAGACACACAGAGACACACAGAGAGAGACTCACACAGAGACACAGAGACACAGAGAGAGACACAGACAGACACACAGAGAGAGACACACAGACAGACACACAAGCAGAGAGAGACTCACACAGAGACACAGAGAGAGAGAGAGACACACAGAGAGAGACAACACAGAGACACACAGAGAGAGACATACAACACAGAGACACAGACAGACACACAAGCAGAGAGAGAACACACAGAGACACACAGAAAGAGACACACAACAGAGACACAGACAGACACACAAGCAGAGAGAGACTCACACAGAGACACACAGAGAGAGACACACAACATAGACACAGACAGACACACAAGCAGAAAGACTCACACAGAGACACACAGAAAGAGACACACAACATAGACTGCAGGGATCCATACGTTTTGGTTCTTTCGGTAAAGTCACGTAGGTATAAAAATATTATAAATAAAAAAATATAAAAAAATAAAAATATTTTATTTTATACCGACGTGACTTTACCGAAAGAATCAAAGAGTTTGTACATAATGGGTTTAAAAAAACAAGGCATTTCGACATGACAAAAAATATCGAGGCACTCCTCAATGGGACATCTTCGGCTTGACATAGCTTCGTGCCCCAGCATTGTCATAATCTGGCCCTGAAATACATTACATTACAATATTTATTGGGGGACACACACCCCCCTCCAATATATATGATAATTACGGCCAATATTCGAATACGCTCAAAATGCCCCCGCCCCCCCCCCCCAATATATTGCTTTCAAAACTATAAAAAAAAAATAATTTCGATGCTATGTAAATAAAAACAACAATTTGCTAAACCTTGGCCACAATATCTGGACTTGTCTTCATGTAACAATGCATCGATTTCTGTTGATGTGATTGTGGTTATGGTTATACTTTATGAATCCCTAATCTCTGCCATTACATACAATGAAACAAGAAATGGTAAAAAATACAATACACGAAAAATACAATACACGATTAGACATTATTGTTAAAAAAAAAAGTCCATCCCATGTGTTAGTGAATTTTTAAATATTTTAGGTAGGAAATTAGTTTTCAAATTTAGAACCCCTTGAAGATTTGGTCCCCATCAACGTTGACTGCATGGCTACGGCTGACACAGAGAGATTAAATACACACGCGTTGAAGACACGGGGGGGGGGGGGTAGGTCCAACTTTTATTGGAGGCGTACACAATTATGTTGAGCGTGTGTCTCTCGAATCTCGACCTCGTTGCTCGTCTTTCTCCACGTGTGTGTCCCTTTCTTCATGGCAATCTCTGTTTGTGCCCGTGCACGCGCCCTACCCCCGTGTCTGCGTGTCTCCGTGCCACGAATGAATGGAATTAGCCACGGGATTACCGCTGGTACGGCTATTTTAATACTCACAATGGACGGGAAGGGCACGATCAATGGGTGACGCACAATGCGTTGAATCAAGAGCTCAGAAGCGTGGTCACCGCATCCACGCCTCTACGTAAGGACCGAGACAGGTGGAGTTCTCCACAAATCTGGCTGTTGCCTGATGAAGCTGGTTGTAATTACTGGCGAAACGTCGGGCTCGGATTGTAAATGTTGTGGCTTGGCTCTCCAACACAACCGGTGTGGCTGTACTAGAATACTACACTATACACTACACTATACACTACTATACACTACTATACACTACTATACACTACTATACACTACACTATACACTACTATACACTACACTATACACTACTATACACTACACTATACACTACACTATACACTACACTATACACTACACTATACACTACACTATACACTAGTGCTGTACTAGTATATCACACTATAGACTACACTATACACTACACTATACACTACAATATACACTACTATACACTACTATACACTACACTATACACTACACTATACACTACACTATACACTAGTGCTGTACTAGTGACGAATTGGCCACGTTCTGTTCACGTGACAACCCTTACTAGTTGGTTGTGTCGGGTGGTGGCGGGTTTAAAGACACATTTATATATTTACGCGATCTAACCCAAACAAACCTCTATTATGGATGATATTGGTCGCGAAAGCCTCCTGCGTGTTAAATATTAACAATGATTGGGCACGGTTTGTGATGATGATGATGATGGTGATGATGGTGGTGATGATGGTGGTGGTGATGGTGATGATGATGGTGATGATGGTGATGATGGTGGTGATGATGGTGGTGATGATGGTGGTGGTGATGATGATGGTGATGATGGTGGTGGTGATGATGATGATGGTGGTGGTGATGATGATGATGGTGGTGATGATGATGGTGGTGATGATGGCGGTGATGATGATGGTGATGATGATGGTGATGATGGTGGTGATGATGGTGGTGGTGATGATGATGGTGATGATGATGATGGTGGTGGTGATGATGATGGTGGTGATGGTGGTGGTGATGATGATGGTGGTGATGATGATGGTGGTGATGATGATGATGGTGGTGGTGATGATGGTGATGATGGTGGTGATGATGGTGATGATGGTGGTGATGATGGTGGTGATGATGGTGCCAACTATTTACCCAGGAAAACCTCACCCTGCCAAGACTTTGTACGGCAGCAGTGTCTCGCCGCATTGCCAGATTTGGCCAATTCCAGTCGTGGGCCGTGACTGTAATTGGTGGTGATGGTGGTTGAACATCGTTTGGATGAGCCAGTCAGAGTGAAGTTCACGGCAGTAGCAATAAAAGAGTGATAAGAAGGCGACTGATTTCCCCGATGAGCGAGTGGGGTGAGCGGGGGGTAAATGTTCGCGTGCAGTAGTCCTGGATGAATCAATGAAACCCGCCTGTTTGTTCTCTCTCTATGTATCTCTGTGATATCTGTCTGCTTATATGTATGTCTATGTGGTTCTGGTTCTGTGTTTTATCTCTCTCTCAAATTTAGCATTCTCAGGAAGAACGTAATCAACCAGGTAGGGTGTTGACTGTTGTGTTATCCGACTCTCTGTTGTATTACATTACATTTCTAAGTATACTAGATTTGTGTTTCTATTTCATTTATACCTGATGATGATTGCTTGTGTTGCAATCGATACATCGTATGCTAGTATTTAATTTATTATTTCATCTTTATACGTGACTTTACCAAAAGAACCAAAGAGTAATTCCTGCAGTCACGAAAGCTCCAAATTAAGTTTGAAACCCACCTGCTTTATGTTGCTTTCCATCAAGTGCACCTCCGATTTAGCCCGATTGGCCACGTACGGCGCGAAAGAAGTTCAACGCAATGTACGCGTAATAAAAGTCGTTGAGGCGACTTCTGGAATCCGGCCTTTTATTCAATTTCATTACAGCTTTCCTTCACACTACTGACAGGCAGCGTGAGAGGGATAGAGAGAGAGACGCGCAGCCACGTGGCAACTTGGAGCCCCGCTCCCGCGTGGCCTCCTCCTCCGTTCGTTCCCGTTCTGACCACGTGTCGTTCGTCTCCACCCCTATTTAATACCCGGGTCACGTGGTACGTTTCCACCAATCCTGGTTAGCCTCTATGGAATATTCCAGACTCCCTCGCAGGCTCCCGGGACCACGCCCCTGACTCGTCTCCCCATTGGCTGTGGCCAAAGCCAGCAGAACCAATCCTCTACTTACAGCTGTCACCTTTCCATGACGTCAGGGCCACGCCCCTAGGCTTCCCCCCATTGGCTATAGACCTGGACCGGCAGAGCCAATCATCATGACGAGTTGTGATACGTCAGTGAGCCGGATATATCCTCACATTACGTACGCACAAACATTGTCGTTCGCCACCGGTAACCCGCCGCCGTCACCGCTGCCGCACTTTGCCTTGCCCCACAGTCAACCCCTGCATGTTCACCGACTACTACTCAACCTGCGTCCAGATGAAGGCGACCTACGGCTGCAGCAACAGCACGAGCGGCAAGGTGATCCAGAAGAACTGCCCCGCCTCGTGCTACTGTGACGGGAAGATCCACTAAAGCAACGAGGGCGACCACGCGGGCGGCGGTGGCGGTGGCGTTAAAATCGTCGCGATCGATGATCGACTCCACGCCGAGCCGTTCACGGCAGCGCACGAGTTTTTTTGGGGGGTGTTGGTGGTCGCGTGGGTTTTTTTTTGACGAATGTTATCAGAATAATTGGTGAATTGATAATCTCAGCACGCTTCGGTGGGGGTCAGGGGTTAAGAAGGGCTGCCACCTTGTGTACTGCAGGCCAAAAGGGCAGATGTTTCTCAGTTAGCACCAGGACCTGTTATTAGAACTGTCAGACAATTCAACATCAGAGTTTGCCAGATCTCGGTACAGACAATAGTAATAATAATGATAAAACATTTGTAATGTAGTCATATTCTTTGGGTCTTTCGGTAAAGTCACGTAGACAGATTTATAATGTACCCGTTGGCACGATAATTTACATTCCAAAGTGTGTGGCTGGATAGTGGAGTGTGTGGATAGTGGAGAGTGTGGCTGGGTAGTGGAGTGTGTGGGTAGTGGAGTGTGTGGATAGTGGAGAGTGTGGGTAGTGGAGTGAGTGGCTGGATAGTGGAGTGTGTGGATCGTGGAGAGTGTGGGTAGTGGAGTGAGTGGCTGGGTAGTGGGGGGTGTGGATGGATAGTGGAGTGTGTGGGTAGTGGAGTGTGTGGCTGGGTAGTGGAGTGTGTGGATGGGTAGTGGAGCGTGTGGCTGGGTAGTGGAGTGTGTGGATGGGTAGTGGAGTGTGTGGGTAGTGGAGTATGTGGCTGGGTAGTGGAGTGTGTGGGTAGTGGAGCGTGTGGCTGGGTAGTGGAGTGTGTGGCTGGGTAGTGGAGTGAGTGGCTGGGTAGTGGAGTGTGTGGCTGGGTAGTGGAGTGAGTGGCTGGGTAGTGGAGTGTGTGGGTAGTGGAGTGAGTGGGTAGTGGAGTGTGTGGCTGGGTAGTGGAGTGTGTGGCTGGGTAGTGGAGCATGTGGCTGGGTAGTGGAGTGTGTGGCTGGGTAGTGAAGTGTGTGGCTGGGTAGTGGTGTATGTGGGTAGTGAAGTGTGTGGGTAGTGGAGTGAGTGGCTGGGTAGTGGAGTGTGTGGCTGGGTAGTGGAGTGAGTGGCTGGGTAGTGAAGTGTGTGGGTAGTGGAGTGAGTGGGTAGTGGAGTGTGTGGCTGGGTAGTGGAGTGTGTGGCTGGGTAGTGGAGCATGTGGCTGGGTAGTGGAGTGTGTGGGTAGTGGAGTGAGTGGGTAGTGGAGTGTGTGGCTGGGTAGTGGAGTGTGTGGCTGGGTAGTGGAGCATGTGGCTGGGTAGTGGAGTGTGTGGCTGGGTAGTGGAGTGTGTGGGTAGTGGAGTGAGTGGCTGGGTAGTGGAGTGTGTGGGTAGTGGAGTGTGTGGCTGGGTAGTGGAGTGAGTGGCTGGGTAGTGGAGTGTGTGGCTGGGTAGTGGAGTGTGTGGGTAGTGGAGTGAGTGGCTGGGTAGTGGAGTGAGTGGCTGGGTAGTGGAGTGAGTGGCTGGAGAGTGATGATCATCAATTCCTGCCTCCCGAACTGCAGATGACAAACCAAACAGGTCAGGTGGCAACCCATTCGCAGAAGGAGCAGTAGTTTTTCCTCTTAGGTGTTTGTTACGACCACTTTATATTGACGCTTCATATCCTATCTCTTACATTGTGTACGACTCTTTATTCATCAGCATAAAAAAAAATGAAAGGAAGTCGCGACAAAGATGTTTAGATGTACACACCGACGTGCGTGTGACGTGGAGCGGTGGTGCGACGGTTAGCGCACTCGGCCCTCATTGAATTGCCTGGCGCGGCAGCGTGTAAACATCGCCACTGGGGAGACAAAGGCGGCCAGGGCGGGGTGTCTTGCCACCCCACCCCTTCGCGTCGTGCCCGGCCTTCATAGGTTCTAACAGCGCTTGCTACAACAATTCTGTTAAAGAGGGGGACGATCCCGAATGTGTGTGGAGGACACAGCAGTGTACATCGTTGTGTAATAAAGGTCGTTGAAGCGACTTCTGGAATCCGGTGTTTATTTGTCTTTCTTTACAACACTTCCTTCACGCTGCTGACAGACAGTGTGAGAGAGATAGAGAGAGACGCGTGCAGCCACGTGGCAGCCTGGACCACGTGGCAGCCTGGACCACGTGGCAGCCTGGACCCCCACTCTCGCGTGGCCTCTCCCCTTCGTTCGTTCCAGTTCTGACCACGTGTTGTTCGTCTCTACCCCTATTTAATACCCGGGTCACGTGGTACGCTTCCACCAATCCTGGTTAGCCTCTATGGAATCTTCCAGACTCCACCGTAGGCTCCCGGGACCACGCCCCTGACTCGTCTCCCCATTGGCTGTGGCTAAAGCCAGCAGAACCAATCCTCTACAAACAGCTGTCACCTTTCCATTACGTCGGGGCCACGCCCCTAGGCTTCCCCCCATTGGCTATGGACCAGGACCGGCACAGCCAATCATCGTGACGAGTTGTAATCCGTCAACGACCCAGATATAACCTCACATTACAGTTGCAAGGAAATAAAACAACACGCTGTTAGTGAATTGTTGATTGTGTTTGCTGATTCATCATTGTCACTGTCAGCCATGGCCTATCCACTGCTGCATGAAGGCCTCGTCAAGTCGCCACCACCTCGCAGATGACCTTGCGACGTCCACTCATGGCCGCCAACACGTGACGATGGTGGGCCCCCTCTAGGTCGACTCAGCCTGAACCGAGTCTCTGATGGGGTGCGTGAACTTTGCCCCAGGGGATGTTCGTCTGCGTTAGCGGACTCCGCTGGTGGATGAAGCCTCCTCCACTGTCAGTGAAGGTCACTCCACTGCTCTGGGTGAATCTGTGTTAGTTTATGGGTCTCTGTGTGAGTCTCTGAGTCTGTGTGTGAGTATCTGGGCCTCTATGTGAGTACAGTATTTGAATCTGTGTTAGTTTATGGGTCTCTGTGTGAGTCTCTGAGTCTGTGTGTGAGTATCTGGGCCTCTATGTGAGTACAGTATTTGAATCTGTGTGAGTTTATGAGTCTGTGTGTGAGTCTCTGGGTGTCTATGTGAGTACATTATTTGAATCTGTGTGAGTTTTTTGGTCTCTGTGTGAGTCTCTGAGTCTGTGTGTGAGTCTCTGGGTGTCTATGTGAGTACAGTATTGGAATCTGTGTGAGGTTATGGGTCTCTGTGTGAGTTTATGAGTCTCTGTGTGAGTTTATGGCTCTCTGTGTGAGTACAGTATTTGAATCTGTGTTAGTCTGTGGGTCAGTGTGTGAGTCTGTGGGTCTCTGTGTGAGTGTGAGTCACTGTGTGTCTGTGGGTCTCTGTGTGAGTCTGCGTCTCTGTGTGAGTCTGTGGGTCTCTGTGTGAGTCTGTGGGTCTCTGTGTGAGTCTGTGTCTCTGTGTGAGTGTGAGACTCTGTGTGAGTCTGTGGGTCTCTGTGTGAGTCTCTAGGTCACTGTGTGAGTCTGTGGGTCTCTGTGTGAGTCTAGGTCTCTGTGTGAGTGTGAGTCACTGTGTGAGTCTGCGTCTCTGTGTGAGTCTGCGTCTCTGTGTGAGTCTCTAGGTCTCTATGTGAGTGTGAGTCTGCGTCTCTGTGTGAGTCTGCGTCTCTGTGTGAGTCTCTAGGTCTCTGTGTGTGAGTCACTGTGTGAGTTAGTGTGGGTCGCCCTCTTGTGGACAAATTCTGTGTCACAAGTAACAAAATAAGGAAGCAATTCATCTCCTTCGCACGTGTGTCTCTCCACAATACAACATACAATTAAACATACGAGATGCACACAATAAAACAAGCGTTTTATTTTATGCATCTCATCAGCGGCATGGCCTTCTGTGAGTGCATCTTCATCGGCGGCATTGATCCACCGCAAACACAACTCTGCACCTATTTCGACATTCAGCATCTCATCAGCAATGAGGCTTGCCTGAAAGACAACGCTTACCTACCAGATCGTCTTGGTTCTTTCGGTAAAGTCACGTAGAAGGGAAATAATAAAATAATAAAAAATTAAAATAATAAAACAATATTATTTTATTATTTCCCTTCTACGTGACTTTACCTAAAGAACCAAGAAGATGAATCCCTGCAGTCTGTTAGAAAGAGCTTCATAGCTCATCGGATTCCTCGAGTGCAAATGCATCTCCTTGATCCCGTGCCGAGCACACGACGGCCGCTTCTCCATGTGCGCTGATCTTAAAGGTGCATTGAAAAATGTTGACACTCCGACTGATGTTCTTAGGTTTTTTCGGTAAAGTCACGTGACTTTACCGAAAAAACCTAAGAATATGAATCCTTGCAGTCACGAAAGCTTCAAATCTAGAATTAATGCACTCCGACTGATGCTCCTGCTGCTGTTGTGGAGTGACTCATGCAGCCAGCTATGGCTGCAGAGTTTTGGTGGTACGTGTTGTTTCCGTCGTTTATTGTCTAAATTCCGTCACAGTTCCTATGATCACTGTTGCATTGCTTTCATGGCTTTATTTTGGTGATTTTTGAAATTTCTTTTCAGTTTGGCCATGTTTGTTTGTTGTAGTACAGGGTTAGACTGATGGCCTTAATCTAAGTTGTCTTGTGGTTGTTGTTGTTTGACTTGCATCCCACTGGGATTTTTGCACACAGCGTTGGTGTACGGTGCTTTTTCTGCAATATTTTGCTGTCTTTTCTTGGATTTTCTGTTTGCACTCAGTCACTTTAAGATGTTTTCTTGTTCATGTTTGTTTTGTTTGTTGCGGTTGCACCCGATTCAAGAGCCGAATGGCTCACAGGGCTACATACCTAATAATTTAAACTTGAAACTATCGGAGAGAGAGAGAGAGAATACGGTCACGGAGACCTGAGCGGCGTGCTGAGCACGTGTGACACCAAGTGGCCAGAAGCGACATCACAGCATTGCCGCCTACTCACAGCGCTCTTTGGGCTCCACCAATGGAACGCCGTTCACTGAGCACACGTCACACTGACACACACACACGTGGGGTGGGTGGAGGGGTGTGCGCGCGTCCGTGTCAACTCGTATAGGACGACTCAGCCCCTCCAAACATCGCCACTGGGGGGACAAAGGCGGCCGGGCGTGGTGCTGGCCACCCCCTTACAACCACCGCTCGCTCGTGGGGCCTTTGCCGGGCCTCGGCACGGCGATTCGCTCGCAGCACTTGCCCCGACAGGCTGGTGAAGGCTATCTGGCGGCGGGGGGGCTCTTTGTCTTTGTGCAGCTGTGTGTGTGTGTGTGAGCTGGGTCGGTAGCTCCGTTCAGACTCAAGCCACGGGCAGATACCGACCGGGACGATGGTAACCCTTCAAGGCTTCGACAGGCACGAATATTGGCATTTTGGCTATTCAATTCATAGCCGCGCAAGCTTCTAAACGTTTGATTATTTCAACAGCAGATTTTTGCGCAGGGATTTTTTTTTTGGGGAGGTCTGTGTGTGTGTGTGTGTATTTAAATCTCCGTAAATTTTATTTCGCTTGCCATATGCACATTCAGCGTGGTGAGATTTTGGGCAAATAATTGTCGAATTAGTTAGGAGAGAGAGAGAGATATTCGTCGTCGAATTAAAACAGCCGGCCGCATCGCTACGAGGCATCTATCTACCTTACAATTAATACGTTGAGATAATTAGATGTAGCACCTACGCTTCACTGCACAATTGGTGATTTCCTTCAACTCGCACGTACACGTGCAGATAGCATCGCTCTCCCGAGGCAATTCGGTCAAGCGATGCGTGACCACTGTTACCCTTCGCTGATTTGAGCCCCCCCTCCCCAAGACCCCATATCGGGATCGAACCGGGATCAAAAGGGGGGGCTTCTCACATGGAGGAGGCTTTGGGGTGAGGCTGATTTTTTTGGAGGCCAAGGCCACAGTGTATCTCCGTGGAGATGAAGGGCCAGGGATGGCTTGCTGTGACAGTCCTCGACCTGGCGCTGGGTCTCATTGCTGCCAATGCAGGTGAGTGAGTCTCTCTGGTGGGGAGACAAAGGCGGACGGGGGTGGTGCTGGTCAAACCTCAACCCCCTCCCCCCCTAACGGGCGCCCGTGTCGGTCTTCATAGGTGGTGCTACTCGCTAACGGCACTTGCCCCAACTGTCTGTTGAGGCTATATGGGGCGAGGGATCTTTGTCTTTGTGATACGTGCACATATGACTGTATACATACGTGTGTGTGTGTGTGATGACATGTGTGTGATGACATGTGTGTCGGTGTGTGTGTGGGGAGCGGTGGTGTAGCGGTCAGCGCGCTGCGCTATGAAACTGGCGACCCGGGTTAGATTCCCGCTCACGGCCAACACCAGTGACGATTATCTGAACCGGTCCTGGGCCTCCCCTAGGTCGACTCAGCCTTAAATGAGTACCTGGTGCGGTGTGTAAACATCGCCACTGGGGAGACAAAGGCGGTCGGGCGTGGTACTGGCCACTTACCTCCCCGCCTTCATAGGTGCTCGCTAACAGCACTTGCCCCTACAGTCTGTTAAGGCTATACGGGGGATCTTTGTCGGTGTGTGTATGTTAGAAGATGTGTCATTGTGCATGTAATACGTGGACGTGTGTGACTAGATTTGTGTCAATGTGTGCGTTGTGTGTGCTAAGATGTGTCAATGTGTGCGCGATAACGGGTGTGTCTGTGTGTACAGTCTATATATTTTGATGAGCGGTGGTGCAGCGGTTAGCGCTACGCTGCGCTACAAACGCGGCGACCCGGGTTCGATTCCCGCTCACGGCCAACACCGGTGATGATTATTTGAACCGATCCTGGGCCTCCCCTGGGTCGATTCGGCCTCAAATGAGTACCTGGTGCGGTGTGTAAACATTGGGAGACAAAGGCGGCCGGGCGTGGTGCTGGCCACCCACCCCCTCGTGTGCCGTGCCGGCCTTCATAGGTGCTCGCTAACAGCACTTGCCCCTACAGTCTGTTGAGGCTACACGGGGGCTTTTCTGTCTCCGTATGTGCATGTGATAACGTGTGTGAGATGTGTACACATGTCTGTATACACACACGTGTGTGTGTGATGGCATGTGTGTCGGTGTGTATGAATGTGTCATTGTGTATGTGGTACGTGGCCGTGTACATCACGTGTGTGTGTGTTAAGATGTGTCAATGTGTGCGTGATTCCGTATGTATCTGTGTAAATGTATGAATTAATCTTCAACTTATTTCGCCAACCGTGCAAATGTGTGTGTGTGTGTGCATATGCGAACGTGTGCACGAGACGTGTGTGTGTGTGCATACATACACACACATTAATGTATGTATACATACATACACACATTAATGTGTGTATGTATGTATACATACATACACACATTAATGTGTGTGCCATTGTATGTGTAGTATTTAGCGCGCTGGGCTCTATCACTGTGTCACACACACAGTGACACTGACACACACACAGTGACACACTGACACTGACACAGTATATCACTGTGACACACACAGTGACACCGACACACACACAGTGACACACTGACACCCTGACACAGTATATCACTGTGACACACACACAGTGGCACTGACACACACACAGTGACACACTGACACCACGACACAGCGTATCACTGTGACACACACAGTGGCACTGACACACACACAGTGACACACTGACACCACGACACAGTATATCACTGTGTCACACACACAGTGGCACTGACACACACACAGTGACACACTGACACCACGACACAGCGTATCACTGTGACACACACAGTGGCACTGACACACACACAGTGACACACTGACACCACGACACAGTATATCACTGTGACACACACACAGTGGCACTGACACACACACAGTGACACACTGACACCACGACACAGCGTATCACTGTGACACACACAGTGGCACTGACACACACACAGTGACACACTGACACCACGACACAGTATATCACTGTGACACACACACAGTGGCACTGACACACGTGACACACTGACACACACAGTGACACACTGACACAGTATATCACTGTGACACACAGTGACACTGACACAGTGACACACTGACACCACGACACAGTATATCACTGTGACACACACAGTGACACTGACACACACAGTGACACTGACACACACACAGTGACACTGACACACACAGTGACACACTGACACAGTATATCACTGTGACACACACAGTGACACTGACACACACACAGTCACACACTGACACTGACACAGTATATCACTGTGACACACGCAGTGACACTGACACACACAGTGACACACTGACACTGACACAGTATATCACTGTGACACACACAGTGACACACAGTGACACCCTGACACACACACAGTGACACACTGACACTCTGACACAGTATATCACTGTGACACACACACAGTGACACTGACACACACACAGTGACACACTGACACTCTGACACAGTATATCACTGTGACACACACAGTGACACACTGACACACACACAGTGACATACTGACACCACGACACAGTATATCACTGTGACACACACCATGACACAGACACACACAGTGACACTGACCAACACAGTGACACACTGACACCACGACACAGTATTTCACTGTGACACACACAGTGACACACACAGTGACACACTGACACCACGACACAGTATGTCACAGTGACACACACACAGTGACACACTGACACCACGACACAGTATGTCACAGTGACACAAAGATAAAAGATCCCCCGTATAGCCTGAACAGACTGTAGGGGCAAGTGCTGTTAGCGAGCACCTATGAAGGCCGGCACGGCACACGAGGGGGTGGGTGGCCAGCACCACGCCCAGCCGCCTTTGTCTCCCAATGTTTACACACCGCATCAGGTACACACACAGTGACACACTGACACAGTATATCACTGTGACACACACAGTGACACTGACACACACACAGTCACACACTGACACTGACACAGTATATCACTGTGACACACACAGTGACACTGACACACACACAGTGACACACTGACACTGACACAGTATATCACTGTGACACACAGTGACACACAGTGACACCCTGACACAGTATATCACTGTGACACACACAGTGACACTGACACACACACAGTGATACACTGACACTCTGACACAGTATTTCACTGTGTCACACACAGTGACACTGACACACACACAGTGACACACTGACACTATGACACAGTATATCACTGTGACACACACAGTGACACTGACACACAGTGACACACAGTGACACCCTGACACAGTATATCACTGTGACACACACACTGTGTCACACACAGTGACACACACAGTGACACACTGACACCCTGACACAGTATATCACTGTGACACACACAGCGACACTGACACACGCACAGTGACACACTGACACTCTGACACAGTATATCACTGTGTCACACACACAGTGACACTGACACACACACAGTGACACACTGACACCACGACACAGTATATCACTGTGTCACACACACAGTGACACACACACAGTGACACACTGACACAGTATATCACTGTGTCACACACAGTGACACTGACACACACACAGTGACACACTGACGCTCTGACACAGTATATCACTGTGACACACACACAGTGACCCTGACACACACACAGTGACACACTGACACTTTGACACAGCATATCACTGTGACACACACACTGACACACACACACAGTGACACACTGACACACACACAGTGACACACTGACACTGACACAGTATATCACTGTGACACACACACAGTGACACACACACAGTGACACACTGACACTCTGACACAGTATACCACTGTGACACACACGGTGACACACTGACACTCTGACACAGCATATCACTGTGACACACACACTGGCACTGACACACACACAGTGACACACTGACACTCTGACACAGTATATCACTGTGTCACACACAGTGACACACACACAGTGACACACTGACACTCTGACACAGTATATCACTGTGTCACACACAGCGACACTGACACACACACACTGACACCCTGACACAGTATATCACTGTGACACACACACAGTGACACTGACACACACACAGTGACACACTGACACTCTGACACAGTATATTGCTGTGACACACACAGTGACATTGACACACACACAGCGACACTGACACACACAGTGGCACACTGACACTCTGACACAGCATATCACTGTGACACACACACAGTGACACAGACACACACAGTGACACACTGACACCACGACACAGTATATCACTGTGACACACACCGTGACACACACACAGTGACACACTGACACTCTGACACAGTATATCACTGTGACACACACACACAGTGACACTGACACACACAGTGACACACTGACACCACGACACAGTATATCACTGTGACACACACCGTGACACACACACAGTGACACACTGACACTCTGACACAGTATATCACTGTGACACACACACAGTGACACTGACACACACACAGTGACAAACTGAGACTCTGACACAGTATATCACTGTGACACACACAGTGACACACTGACACACACACAGTGACATACTGACACCACGACACAGTATATCACTGTGACACACACCATGACACAGACACACACAGTGACACTGACCAACACAGTGACACACTGACACCACGACACAGTATTTCACTGTGACACACACAGTGACACACACAGTGACACACTGACACCACGACACAGTATGTCACAGTGACACACACACAGTGACACACTGACACCACGACACAGTATGTCACAGTGACACACACACAGTGACACACACACAGTGACACACTGACACCACGACACAGTATATCACTGTGACACACACCATGCCACAGACACACACAATGACACATAACACACGCACTGCCGCACACGCATTTACTCACACGGATGAGAGATTTTTGTGCTGTAATTCAGGGAGGCCAATCATTAAAAATGAAAGTGAACCAGGGTTACAAAACATTTCTATTTTAGCTATGCCTAGCAACGCACA